CCGAGCCTTCCCTGCCGAGCCTCTCCCACCGCTCCATCCTGATACGTATGCAGCGGTTTTCTACCTCAACAAGCAGGGGGGTGCGTGTTCGCCACCCCTATGCAAGGAGGCCCTGCGTCTATGGCATCTGTGTGTCACGCCTCAGGCGGAGTACCTCCCCGGGTGCAAAAGCCTACTTGCAGACACACTGAGCAGATCCTTTGGAGCCCACGAGTGGTCACTCAAGGACTCTGTCCTCAGCCAGGTTTTCCACAGGTGGGGCTATCCCCACCTAGACCTGTTTGCCTCAGCACGCAATGCGAAGTGCAGGAACTACTGTTCCCTGCTGGGGCTGGGGGAATATTCCCTGGGGGGTGCCCTGACGACCGTGTGGCCAAAGGGCATTCTCTATGCTTTTCCCCCCTTTCCACTAGTTTCCAGGGTATTGAACAGAGAGAGAACTTCCAGGTCCTCGATCATCCTCATAGCCCCCAGGTGGCCCAGGCAGTTCTGGTTCCCCATCCTGGTGGATATGCTGACCCAAGACCCTATAGCACTCCCTCCAATTCGGGATCTGCTAACCCAACCTTGGGATGGGGGGTTAAGGTTCACTCAGATTTCCCGGTCTCTTCACCTAACGGCCTGGTTTATCCGTGGTTGAACCAACCAGAAAGGGAATGTTCCCGACAAGTACAGATGGTGCTCCTTAGCAGCAGGAAGCCCTCTACTAGACGCTGCCAAGTGGCGGTGCTTCTTGTCTTGGGCGTCCCAGAGAGGAGTACAACCATCCTCGGCCCCTATTCCAGCTATTCTCGACTATCTCTTTCAACTCCGTTCTTGTGGCCTGTCCTTTTCCTCTATTAAAGTCCATGTGGCATCTCTCTCCGCCTTCCATGTTGGTACGGCAGGAACCTCTCTTTTTTCTAACCAGGTGGTTAAAAGGTTTCTTACTGGTTTGGAGAAATTGTACCCCTTGGTGAGGGCTCCATACCCTGCCTGGAATCTCAACCTGGTCCTTCACAGGCTTATGTCCCCTCCTTTCGAGCCTTTGGCTACATGCTCATTGAAGCACCTTTCATTGAAGGTTGCTTTCATAGTAGCCATTACGTCTGCTAGAAGGGTATCAGAGTTAAGGGTGCTGACTATAGAGCCGTCCTACCTTGTTTTTTCACATAACGTGAGGCTATGGTCTCATCCAACCTTCCTCCTGAAGGTGGTTTCTCCTTTTTACCTATCTCAGGAGATTTATTTACCGGTGTTCTTCCCTAAACCTCACGCATCCCCTAAGGAGCGTGTTCTACACTCCCTGGATGTCAAGTGAGCGCTAGCTTTTTATATTGATCGACCCAAGCCCTTCCGTAAATCTCAACAATTGTTCGTGGCATTTGGGGATAAGGGGAAAGGTTCACCTATTTCTACGCAAAGGTTATCAAGATGGGTGGTGCAATGTATAGCGGAGTGTTATCAACTGACTGGTAAAATGCCACCCAGGGTGAAGGCACACTCTACCAGGGCGCAGGCGTCCTCGGTATTCTTTGGTGCCCAGGTACCTATCTCAGAAATTTGCAGGGCAGCCACCTGGTCTTCCCTTCACACGTTTGCAACACATTATGCGCTCTCTCAACAGGCCAGGGAGGATGCAAGGGAGGGCTCTGTAGTCCTCGAATCTGTGATGTAAATATATAAATCTGGTTGTCTTTGTTCTGTGTTGGTGACTTGTCACTGTTTAATTGTTCAAATAAATCTGTTTATTGTTCACCTTCCTTTATGACTCTGGTGCTATGACTGTTCCGACCCCTCCTCCTTAGGGTTAGCTTGAGAGTCACCTACTTCGAATGGACATGAGCAACCACTCAAAGAAGAAAAGAACGGTTACTTACCTGTAACTGTTGTTCTTTGAGATGTGTTGCTCATGTCCATTAGACTCCCATCCTTCCTCCCCTTCGTCGGAATATCCGGCAAGAAGGAACTCAGGTGGGGCAGCGCCGGCAGGGGTACTTATGCCCCGCTATTGTGGCACCACTCCAGAGGGCGCCCTGCCGGCGCTACGGGTACCGCTAGGGAAAACGCTCCAGAAGATGCGGTGCACTCGGTGCGCACACCTACTTCGAAGCCTACTTCGAATGGACATGAGTAACACATCTCGAAGAACAACAGTTACAGGTAAGTAACCGTTCTGATGTTCTAGTTTCTGAAGAGGTGAGAAGAGTTCAGGTAACTTGCAGGACCAACTAGTAGTGAAATTGTTCTTTCAAACTACAGTAGATGCATCAGAAGCATCTGCTATGTCCATGGCAACCCCTGTGTTCATGATAAGACTTAGTGGTTAGAAGCTTCAGACCTACCAAAGGAGGTGCAGTTTACTCCTCAAAGATTTACCCTTTGAGGGAACAGAAATCTTCAGTGAGCCCACGGATGATAGCTTATATTTCCTCAGGGATTTTAGTGCTACATTATGCCTAAAGAGTATGGCTATGTCTAGACTGGCCCCAAAATCCGGAAAAGGGATGCAAAGCAAGTAAGTCAGCATAGGGAAATCCGCGGGGGATTTAAATATCCCCCGCGGATTTAAATAAACATGTCCGCCGCTTTTTTTCCGGCTTGGGGAAAAGCCGGAAAAAAAGCGTCTAGACTGGCGCGATCCTCGTGTTAAAATATTTTGTGGATTTGGGGGTGTTAAATTGTTTACTGCAAACATTCACAACACAAAAGCACAGGTACTTGAAAGTAGGAATAAGAGATCCTCCGGAAAAGGGCTTTATTCCGGAGGATCGCGCCAGTCTAGATGCTTTTTTTCCGGCTTTTCCCCAAGCCGGAAAAAAAGCGGCGGACATGTTTATTTAAATCTGCGGGGGATATTTAAATCCCCCGCGGATTTCCCTATGCTGACTTACCTGCTTTGCATCCCTTTTCCGGAATTTGGGGCCAATCTAGACGTAGCCTATATGTATTCAAGTTTACGTAGCAACATCAACTATTTCAGGATGGATCAATTTTTAGTAGAAACCTCAAACTAATGTGCCAGTGATTTTTCTGTGGCTATTTGGTTTGCATGCAGTGGGAATCATTAGTTGCTGAGATGTTGAATAAGCATTCAGTCCCTTAAACTGCCTCTACAAAGCTAGGGGGAAAAAGATGCATTTCTTCCTTTACTTCTTGTTCCCCACCCCATGCTTACTCTACCCCAGGTGTTAACAATAGACTCAATTGTGTGAAACACTAAAAAGGAGGACCACCTTCCATGCCTTCCTGGTTTTAAAAGCCTCAACAGTCCCTTACATAGCTGTTTAAACTATAGGCTATCCTCCAGTTTCAGGAGACGATCCATAGCACTTAATTCAAAATTTTAAAAACATTTGCTCTTTTCACAGACTTACATAAAATAACCTTGATCCTGATGTGCAGTAAAATTTGAGATTTTTCACTCCACATTTCAATGTTCATTTTTTGATATTTGTGTTAAACCAGCCTCCATTTTTGACTAGTGAAAATTACATAAAACAGGTAAAATACGCAAGAACAACTTTTCTGATTTTCAGTATCATTTAACGGCATTTTCACATTATTATTCATAAAAACACCAAAGCACGTTGTGGAATGGGAATGTTGACTGTCATGTTAGGACTCTTGTGTGTGGATATGATGCATTATATAACTAAGGATTTTATGTATGCATAAAAAATGTTATAATATATTTTTGTTTCAGAAGTAGTTGTTACTCTGAAGTAGACAATCATTTGGCCATGGTCTTATTTGTATGACTATTGACAGTTAGCATTGAGAATTAAACTAAGTTATTTTCGAATAGACAGTAACCCTTATCAGGGGTGCTAGTAGTAGGGGTGAGGCAGCATCCCTGGGTTTGAAGTGGTTTCCATCATATACAGGGTTTACCGTTTGGGTCAGTCACTCGGAGCACACCCCTCCCCCACTATACAAATTGTTCCAGCATCCTTGGAACAGTTTCTCATATGAAGGAGGAGAGAAATAAAAAGACTTCTATGTCTGTCTTCTGTTCCCTTGTGGTTAGCTATCAGCTAGCTATTGTCAGTTCAGGCATAGACTTGCTTGAAACAGGTTTATACATTAAGAAGCAATGTGTTTCCATAGCAGCTATAGTCTAATTTTTTTTTCCTCACTTGACTTTTTTTGCTCCTTATCAGTTTTGAAGGGCAATATTAAACAACAAAAAGCATATTTAGGTCAAATAAAGAAGCGTTTACTAGTACGAACTCTGTGCTAAGCATTCTGGGAGAGCTCTTTCTTGCAGCAGATGAGGGTTCTTTGTGGCTGGCAGCAGAAACTGCAGCACTGTCGTCGCAATTTCTTTTTATCTTGGATATGTTCTGAAGATTTAGGAATCAAGCAGTTTTTTCACTATATGGAATACTTTTTTAGCTGTATCATACAGTAATAGAATGTGGGTGAAAGCATCCTGTTGGAGAGTGTTACAGTAGAGCTGTCATTTTGTTTTTCCATCACTCTATTTTATTTTTTAAGGCTGGATTTTTGACAGTCTCATATTTAACTGAACAGGATTGCATTATAATAGCTGGTGGCTTTTATTTTAGTGATATACTTGATCCTGGACCTGAAGATGATGCAAAGGATGATTGTTCCTTTTGAGCAAAGGAAGACAGTCTGCAAATGGAGTCAGGATTGCTAGAAATGTAAATTCAACACATTTGGAATGGGTTGCACTACTAGTGTGGTTCTGTTTAAAGGCATTCGTACAGTTATTGAGAGAAACTGTGCTTATATTTGCAAACAACACGGAGAAAATAATGCCCTTGAATATACAGCACACAGTTTGACCCATGAGGATACAGGACTGTTGATTCATTCATGCCTGGTAAATACGGACTTGTTTAACATAATTTCACTGAACAATTGAAAACAAAAAATCCACTCGATAATGTGTATGTAATATCTGTTCTATAAAATGAATTTAATAATATTGTAGAGTGCACTCTTGCAGGAACATGTCATGCTTTAATAATATTGTAAAGAGTTCACTTGCAGAAACGTCATTCACACAGGTATAGATACAAAACATGAAATGTTTTATAGATTTGTACTGATATAATTTTGAAGAAGCTTTGATTCTTTATAGACTGTTTTTGTATCCATAGACTGTTGTTGGCTGTTGTTGGATCTTATAAGGTACCTCTCTTACTTGAAATGACAGAAACAGATGACTATAATATTTGGAAAAGAAAAACCTTATTACTACTAGTATGTTAGGAAAAATCCCAATGCAGATTGAAAATTTTCATTTTTAAATGATCTTATTGGGATTGAATTTTTTAGGAAATATGTTACTACAGTAAACTAAACTGGTCAAAGGGACAGGAGAGTATGCTAGAAAAATCTTTAGAAGAAAACGAATTGTTTTTTAAATGTCTTTTTTTTGGGTGAGGCTTTCTAAGTGTTATCTGATACATAGAGAACAGGTTTTGATGTGGAACTACTTTCTTCATACTGCCCAGACTTGTGACGTGCACATGCGTCAGATACACTGTGTTGGGGCCGAAGGGGATGGAAGTCCGCACTAGTTGCTGACCAATTCACAAAGTGATCTTGGTAGATTTGTAGGGTTATTTCATATTATTTTAGGCTGTATGCATTCCTCATCTTAGCTTCTCTGTCACTAACAAGCTGGACAGAAGAATTGTTGGAGAATGAGGGTAGATTTTAAAGAGAGATTTAGTAATACAAGTTTGTGTTGGAGAATCTATAGTGTCTGTTTAGGTGTTTGAGACTATTCATTGGGACATTATAGAAATTAATTCAACAGTATGAATGTGTTTTTTTTTTTAAAGTCTTGAATTTTTTTAATACTAACTTTGGCCTTTTTTTTTTCTTCCTACGTTTTGATTATAACGAAAGACTGAATCTGATGTAGGGAACATGGGTTTTCCAAAGATGGGAGAAAATGCTAAAAATTCTGAGCATTCTCCTCACTTACCTTGAGTAAGTTAGAAAATATATCCTTTACCTTAATTTATGCTGAATGTAAGAGTGTGCTGAATGTAAGAGTGTAAGTAAAATCTGGCATCATAAATGGTTTACTTAAATACCCCCCTCCCCACACACCTCAATGTCAGCCATTTTTGAAGTATTGGTCTCATTCCATAACTAATTAAACACCATTTAAATTTTTTTATTTGCTGACTAGGAGAAAATCAGTTTGTTTTGCACAAAAATCAGAATTACAGTTAACTCAGATTGGTTATATACATCCAGATATGTGAGTGTGAAGTAAAAATAAGGCAGGGACTACCTTTGATAACGTAAAAGCTAGAATGAAAAATTTCTTGTAATGGATTTACATTGTCACTTACTCCTTTGTTTTATTTAGTATTCTTTTGTTTTAGCTACTATTGCCCCAGGGCTCAGTTGTTACAGTTTTAATTCATTGTTACAAAATTGGGATATAAACGAATCAGATAAGGCTCAACATTTACTTGCCTTTTTTGGCAATCATGGTGATGTTATGACAGACATGAAGCAGCTCTAAATTTTTGAAGACTGTATGTTGACCTAGTTGGTGGGATATTAAACTATATGAATGATCGGTTTAATTTTAATGGCTTTAAGGAAACAAATGGCTTAAGTTAGATGACCCTTGGTAAACCCTTCAGGGTTATGACAGAGAGAGCAATTGTCATTTAGATGTCTGGTTTGTAGGGCAACCTTAGGTAAAATGGGTGAATTGTATTTGTGTCCCCATCCTGTTATCCCCTCCTGCAGCCACTAGGGATGTCACAGGCCTCTGGGCTTATCAGTAAATCACATTGACTACATGTATCTCCCCAGCCCCTTGCTGCATTTTTATCAGAGGCAGCAAGGGGGTGAGGTGGGAGTTGGTGCATGTGGGAAGCCAGCTTTCAAGCCAGCTCTCTGTGCGTTTTGGCTCACGCAAGTTGTGTTCCCTCTACCCCCTCTATATCAGAGGGGTAGGGGTGGGAGCTTATACACATGGGGAGCTGGTTTTTAAGCTCTTTCTCCTTGCATGCTGGCTCCTCAGAGCCATCTGCCCGTCCTTACTGCTTCGCGCACAGGCAAGAAGGGGGGCAGTCAGGAGCCGGTGCAAGCGGGGAGCCACCTGCCTCCCCTCTGCACTGCTGCTTCTGGGACAGTCTCGCTGTGGACAGAGGCTTCACTGGCATCTCGTGGAGCAGTCTCTCTCTGCTGGGAGCTCAGGCCCCCCATGGACAGGAGCTGATGCCACCCTGTGTTGTTCCCTGTGATACAGAGGCAGCAGCGTGGGGTGGCAGGGGGCTACCTGGGAGTGAGGCTGGGAATGCATTGGCTGCAGTCCCCAGGGACTGTCGAATAGTCATGTAACCGATCATATTTGATGTGGTTACATGACTATTTAGTTAATCACTATCTAACATCCCTAGCACCCGTGTGGGGAAACTGATCTGGATGCATGGAGCATCTGGCATTGCTGTTCACTTCCACCAGGAACACTACTGCTCCCTGCACCTGTGAGGAGAGGGAGTGAGGAGCAACATCGGGGCTCCCTGTGTCCAGGTAGAGTCTGTTTATTTAAATAACCATTTTATGCTTTCTTCCAATTTTGGGTAAATTATTGTTTTTTTTTTAAAGATGTTTGTCTGGTTATTGATCACTGGTATGTATCACTGATCACAGAAGGGAAGAACAGATGGTGTTAAACCTCTTTGGATCTGTTTGCTAAGCAGCATATTTGATACACAGAATACTGAAGGCATATGCTTGGTCTAAAAGTGGGAGAGATGAGTAATTCTTCTCTTGGAGTTGCAAGGGCATGAAACTGGACACCTGAAGGGTGCACTTAATGAGACTATTAAGGGGACAGAAGCACAACTCACTTTGCAACAAAGATAATTTATTTTGCAAAACTCTGCATGAATAAAGTTAAAATTTAAACTCTAGGATATCTCAGTCTGACTGAATGAATATTTATACCATTTTCTCTAAATTCAGATTACTTTTGGGAGAAGAACTCAATTTTTCCTCTCCTTATTAAGAATTGTGTTTGAGTTGCCTTCAGTGTAGCTCTTATTATTGATTGCAGGGGCTGGACAGAGAACCTAAGAACATAAGAATGGCCATACTGGGTCAGACCAAAGGTCCATCTAGCCCAGTATCCTGTCTCCCTACAGTGGCCAGTACCAGGTGCCCCAGAAAGGGTGGACCAAAGAGAATGATCAAGCGATTTGTCTCCTGCCATCCTTCTTCAGACTTTGACAAACAGAGGCCAGGGGCACCATTCCTTACCCCCTGGCTAATAGCCTTTTATGGACCTAACCTCCATGAATTTATCTAGCTCTTTTTTTAAACTGTTATAGTCCTAGCCTTCACAGCCTCCTCTGGCAAGGAGTTCCACAGGTTGACTGTGCGCTGTGTGAAGAACTTTCTTTTATTAGTTTTAAACTTGCTACCCGTTAATTTCATTTGGCATCCTCTACTTCTTATATTATGGGAACAAGTAAATAACTTTTCTTTATTCACCCTCTCCACACCACTCATGATTTTATAGACCTCTATCATATTCCCCCCTCAGTCTCCTCTTTTCTAAACTGAAGAGTCCCAGTCTCTTTAGCTTCTCCTCATATGGGACCTGTTCCAAACCCCTAATCATTTTAGTTGCTCTTTTCTGAACCTTTTCTAATGCCAAAATATGTTTTTTGAGGTGAGGAGACCTGCATGAAACTGCAGCTGTTTGTGTCCCTATCTGTATGAATACTGATGAAAATGCAGGTTGGAAGGCTTTTCAGCTTTTCACAGCAGTACAACATGAGAGGGAGCCCAGATTGGTGGGTCTGGGGATCAGGAGTATCTTAGTTCTAGGTGGCAACTTTGGGAAACCCATCAAAGATGTGTTTATCACCAGCAAGGCCAAATATATATTCCGCTTAACAGGAGGTGTGCGTTTGAACTCATTGCCAGATGCTTCTTTCCTTTGAATTAGATGTCTCTGATCCCCAGAATAGTATGCAAGGTCAAACAGATGGAAGTGTGGCTCTCCTCATTCATTCTTAGTAGCCATGGGAGTTCTGGCTCCCAGGCCTACTAGTGAGGTCCATACAGTCTCCCTTATCCCTCCCAGTCAGCTCAGTCATGCCATAGTATTCTAGAGTCAAAATCAGATGTTATGCCTGAATGTATAGCTGTTGGCTAGTAGAGTGCAGTCAGTAGATTATGCCCTATCTGATGAGAAAACTGCTATCTAAATCTTCCACTAGGAACATTTTTCCCTTCAAATGAAAAAAAATTTTTTTTTTTTTTACATGGTGACAGGACAAAACTAGATCCAGTAAAGGCACTCATACTGAAAATGTATTGATTTTTACATTCTGAACTGGTCTTTGCTCTGAAGTCTGCGTAGCAGCACTTGTCATGTCATGCCATGCCCTGGAATAGTTACACTCAGTTCTCACATCCATTAGTATCAAAATTCCTTAAGGGCCCTGTAACAGGTTTCACATTCAGTGCCACAGTGCCTCCTGCTGGCTGTCCTGGGAATTAGCTCTGTCATCCAGGAGCAGCCTTTTTTGGTGGTGTATCACTTGCCATTACTTACCTGGTCTGTCCTCTATCGCAGGACACAGGTCTTGGGAACTGCCTTCAGGTGGTGCCTGCTCCTGGGTTCTTCTTCTTCAGAGAACCAATTAGGCCTAACCCTACCAGTTGCCTCAGAGACCCATTCCAGTCCTTAATCAAACCCATTCCTACAACGGCAATCTGCAGTGTGAATTGGCAATGTTCATTACCAGCTATAGTGGTGGACCTGCTATCTATTTTCTCTGGGATGTCCATATGCAGCCCTAATATCCCCCTAGGTCTCCTTTATCAAGG